AAGTTTAATGGCAAATTCAATTCTATACAATAGTTAGAAATCTGACACAGAGAGGAACACACATTTTAAAGATGGGCTACTGGCTATAATCGAAGATAACACTGTAGGATCTCTAGGAACAAAGATCTGAGGAATAATCAAAGTCATGAGTACTCTAAAGAAAAACAAGGGAGAGAGATAAAAATAAATTAATTTACTAAACTAGCTCTAGAATTTTAATAGACATTATTAAATTAGCATGTTTGGTGCAGACAAATACAATTTTTATCTACAAAAGTATGTAGAAACGAATTTCCAAAAGTATTACTGAAACATCTATGAATATGTTTCATAAATACAAATAGAATAGCTTTGAAATATGAAATGTGTTATATCTACAAATGTACATAGAAATGAATTTCCAGAAGTATTAATGAATCATACAATACGTAACATGATCCAATGAATGTGAGTTAATTTAGATGTCACTAATAAAATCATGCCACCAACAATATAAGTGAACTGGTTTAGTAACAATGTGGAAATACATATGAATGTTCAGGCCCTTAATGCATAACATTTAGGGAAAGCAATCCTACTGTAACTTATCCATTTTACTTAGTTTTACTTAATATTCACTAATGCTTTATTTTATAACATACAATACTTAACATTAATAAAACATATTTATTTTCAAACCTGCTGGCTTGATCATTAATTTAGGCCAGACTCCATCTCCTGTTGATATGAATGTTTTAAATGAGAAAAAATCTGAAGTAATATTCGGGAGCATGAAAATAGGATTATAAAACACCTCAATCTATAAGGATACTATAGAAGCTATAAAACTAATAAATATTGCTCATTCTCTGCTTGCATACAAAAAATACAATATATTGCATGGTAAGAAGGGTGCTATTGCTAGGTATAACCTACATTCATGGCCGTTTCTATTATCAAGAGCATTTCATTAAAAACTGTAATAAGATGCAACTGGCTATAACTTAAACCAACTCTAAAGAATTATGAAACTCTAAAATTGCAGATAAATTTATGAAAGTTAAATATTATTTTTAGTTGCTTATCTCTTAAAATTCTCTACATCCTCTAATCCAGAACGCCAAATAGGAGCCAGATATACTAGAGGAAAAATGAAGGACAGAACTTTGTTTTGTTCACATGCAGTTAAACTCATGTTAGACCTTCTATGCAATTTTTTAAGTGAGTGGAATATAAATTCATGAGTAAGTAATCTACTCTGAGAATAACATTTTGGCTTTCTAAAATTTGTCAGGCTACTTATTAACATACCTCACTACAAGTATATAAAAGCTTTTGAAGAAAACATTTACTGAACACTGGCAAGAATCATGCTAAGAAGTAAGAGTACAAGATGAACAAGAACCACCATTACTCTTAAGTAGTTTATAATCTAGTGGTGAGATACGCAAGTAAATAGATAGGGTTTCAGTCCTGTCGGGTAAGTGCTGGGTTAGGGGTAAATGCCAAAGGGTTATGGCAGCACACTGCAGAGGGCCCTAACCAGAAGGGCTGACTGGGTGAGAAGAAAGGAGGTAGTCTGAGAGGGCTGCTCAGAGGGATGGAAATCTAAACGGAGTCTTCAAGGATACAGGTTATCCTGGTGGGAAAGAGACCCCTCTGGGAAGACGTTAAAGCACTTGCAAATACACAGAGACCTCAGAGAACCTGGGAGATTCAGAAACCGGAAAAACAAAAAAACTGAAGAAATAAATAAGCATTAAGCTCTGTATGCTTGATGACACACTTGAGCCTCTCCCTTGAAGGCAAGAAAGGGCTTGTGAAGGATAAAAATGAGGGTAGTGATGTGATCAGGGTTGTATTTTAGGAAGACAACTCTGGAAGCAACTTAAAGTAAGAAAGTCAAGAGATAAAATAAAGATCTCAACTAAACTAAGGGAGCTCCAGCAAAAAGAATAGCTTTGAATGACATTAAACATTAAGAGTGGACAAAGCTTTGAGATGGGGGATGAAGACAAGGAGGATTACTACCTCTTTTCTGCCATAGCCCATTCAGTAGCTGATGATGCCATCACTGAGATGAGTAATACTGGCACAAAGGACAAAAGGAGAAAAGCTGGGAGAGGGGAGGAGAGCTGGTGAATTTATTTTTCATTTGCTGAGTGTGTGGACCTGTGAACTTCCAGGAAGGGATGTCTGGTCAGTAGCTGGATATGCTAGAATGAATGAATACTCATTAAAGAGCATCTGAATATCTCAGGTATTTGTGACAGTAGCTAACATTTATTGAATGTTTATTCTAAGTGAGGCATGTGCAAGCACTTCATAAAACATCTTTTTAATATCTTTCCACTCCATAGAGGAGGAAGAGTTTAAGTAATTTCCCAATGGTTTTAAAGTATTTAAGTGACAGGGAAATCTGATTTTATAGCTCACGCCCTTAACTACCACATTATGTTGTATCATGCAAAATCCATTAAAAGTTTTGGGACCAGCTAAAAAGAAGTAGGTTTAATTCTGATCTCTGCTACTTAACAGCTGTTTGACCGTGACACTCTCTATGTCATAGTTTCATCTATAAAACGGTGATCTTAAAAATTGCAGTGAAGGGATACATGGTAAGAACTGGAGAGAGTATATGAAAAATGCTAGATGCAGTGTGCATGTGCCATAAATGACTCCTACTGCTATGTCTACACCCAAAGAATCCCCCTTGAACAAAAATAGCAACGATATGTGTAAATTCACTTTCATCGAACTATGAACTTTAATTCCACCCCTACTTGTTCTATATCGTAACAAATTTATCATTTTTCAAAATATTTTGAGACATTAATATACTCCACAAAATTTAGAGTCATTTACAGATTTCATTCAAAGATAAATCATTTCCATGTAAAAAGGCTGACTCTTTTTCTTTTCTTTTTTTTTTTTTTCCTGACATTTCTATAGATGCCATAATATGCATAACCCAAAAGCAATGAGGCATGTTGATGTTAGGGAGAGAGCTTTGGACTTGGAGTCAGAAGAACTGTGTAAAGTCCCAACTCTGCCTCTTACCAGCCATGCCAATATGGGCAAGTCATTTAACAGTTCTAAGCATCTCTTTCCACATTTGCGAGATGAATACATTGGTCTACATGTTTGAAATTTAAATTCAGCAAATGGGTTCAAGCTGAGAGGGTAGGCAGGTCACCCTAGATTTCCTGTTCTCAAACCTGACTGCTCATCAGCATCACTGGAAACTTTTAAAAACATACTTCAAAAAGAAATAGTGAGTTCCATGACCTTAAAATATCACTAGAAGGACACCATATCTGATTTACAAGTTCTGTGCTTCATTTTGTGAACGGGGATATGATGCATCTTTAATAACACGTCACTTTAGTGTTAAACATAAAAATACATTCTCAACTGCATTGAAAATAAAATTCTTTCTTGGGTATATACACACCCTATAGTAATTAACAGAATCAACCATCTGGTTTTCCCTAAACTCTGCCTGCTTTAGCACTGAAAGTTCTGTGTCCCTAGAAACCCCTCAGTCTCTGGAAACAAAGACCGTTGGCCACTCTAACATATATACACACATACATACACATATTTGCATATACACACACACTTGTATGTGACCCTCGGTGTATTAGAACAAAGTTCAGATCAACAGTACTCCTTTAATGAAGCATCACCACTAAGATGTTATCAACACTTACTAACTATTCAACTCCCCCATAGTCACACAGACAGACCTCTGATTCCAACAGTCATGATGACTAACCTCCATTTGGCCAGAGTCCATTCTGTGAATATTTACAGTCAATAACCAGCACTTTTAAAAGTTTTAAAACCCTTGCCTTCCCACAGCCATTTCTGTTTACCTTACTAAAGGAGTCACACAATTCTAGAGAAATGTATCTCTATGATTTGACAGATTTTGTAGTTTTTTCACTTTATAACTTTTTGTTACATTTTTCCTATGATGTCATGTGAAATAAATAATAATATAATATATTTTGAAATTAGACTATGGTCATGTCTATCCAAATTAAAGGTATGGCTATCATTTCTTTTAAATAAAATATTCACTACAAAGCAAATCAAATTAACTTCAAATGGCACCAGAATATACATCTCTCTTAAAATTAAACTCACCACATGTACCTTTTCTAGAACCCATTATTATATATAAGTATTTTTTCCTCAGTTGCCTGATGGAGAAACATTTCACTGTAAGATTAGGTCATGATCACATAAGCTAATAAAGAATGGCATCAAAAAAAAAAAAAAAAGAACAACATTAGACTGCAGAACACACTCTCAGTAGGTACAGGTCTTGTTACTTGTAGCACCATGAGTTGCCTGTATGCAAAACAGCTCAAAGGACAGCTTCCAGTAGTGTGAAGGTGTGGGGGTGTGAGGGAAGCCCTCCCATTGCCTCTAGTTCCACACACTAAAGAACCACTGTCACAGAGACACCACTAACAAGCTAGGAGGAAAGGTTGCAAAGAGCCTTTCCCTTTGAGAAAGAAGAATCTTAAAAGTATTGCCGTCAGTCTGGTGCATCCTTGGTCCTGCAATGAATCTAGTAAAATACAAAAAGCCCTTGAGAACTATGGTTTCTTTCCTCCTTAAAATGAGCAACAAGCATGCTAATAATATACTTTCTCCTTTTATACTTCTGATAGTCAACAATATCCAGCATATCTGAAATAAAATAATAAAGGAAGTGTACACAATTGTTTAAACTGTCTAAAACATGCATCGTGATCTCAACGCCCTAGTCTTTCCACCACTGGCTTTCCAAGTAGAAAATCAAGGAAGACATCAAAATGTGACATCCTCATTAAGCAGAAACAGCATAAATCTCCAAGTTTGTTTCATGGTCTTTGAAAGAAAATTCAAAAATCGTTTAAAAATATATTTAATGAAAAACTTACTTCTTACAATATATCCCTTTTACGTATGATTTTCAGTAGTGTTATCGCAACTTTTTTCCAGCAAAACTGAGAATGAAGACTTACTGATTGTTCATTTAAATCCTGGGAGTCTTCCATGTGGTTTTCTCACTTCTCCTGCCACTCCCAAGTAGAAGCAGCTTCCTTCAAGTAAAAATGACTATCTAAAACAAGAAGATGGAAACAAAGTGGAAAAATAGTTACCTTTATATTCATTTGTAAAGTTACAAAAACATATTAAGGCATAGCACGGTAATTAGTAACTTATAGGAGCATTCTTTCAAGAAGAAAATCCCCTAATATTGTCTCCATATCTGATGCAATTAATGATCTTGAAAGTAGTGTCGTGGTAAAAGTGGGATATGTGAACAGCTAGTCAGGAATCCTACAGATCAACAAAAATATCCACAGTCTGCAATAAACACAGTCTGTAATAAATAGTTAATACACTATTTTGCTGAGGGAGGTATGTCATCAAGCCTCTGATAGATTAACAATCAAGAGTTTGAATTAACCACTTACTTTCAAAAGTACATAAAATAATTTGAAAAAATAAGTGCGCATTTTAATATGACAGCTTTCTCTTACAGGAAAATTTGTCTGAATTGTCTGATGATTATTCTTCTGAAAAATAATTACTCTTCATTTTTAAAAAATATAAAATACATGACCAACCTTAAAAAGACAATATGTTAAAGAATGTATTACAAATAAACACGGGAAAGATAATTAGCAATACACTATGGTGAAATAACTGGTTAACTATTCAAAAAATATCTTTACTCCACACCATACATTAAAATATTTTCAAGTGAAAGTTAAAAAAGAAAACTCTAAGAAAAATAGGCATATATTTTTAAATCCCCAGATAGAGGACTTTATCATAGTAGCAACAGAAGACACACCAAAAACCCAAATAACCCTAAATCCTCTCTCTTGCTCTCTCTTTTAAAGCACATACATGCAAACACACACACACAAATGCACACACACAATAATGAAAATTAAAAGGCACAGAAAAATCTAGAAATACCTGTGCAAATATCAAACACAATGGGCCAATGTTCTTAACAAATAAAGAGCTCTTATAATTCAGACAAAAAGGCACACAACCTATAGAAATATGTTCAATCATCATAAAACAGTGTTCAAATTCACAAGAAAATAAAATGTAATTTAAAATTGCAATGATACACTTCTAGTGTTCAAATTCTAATTCAAAAAAAGAAAAATTAAAAGATTATACTAAAAACAATTTAGATTTAAAAAGTTGTTCATCGTATATGAACATAGATACAATCATTGAAATCACATTTCAAGAAATATCCACTGACATCAAACATTTCTGAAAATACAATTTAAATGGAAAAGAGTATTACAATCTAAAGAAATAATTGGACACTGTGGTGGTTAATACTGAGTGTCAACCTGATTGGATGGAAGGATACAAAGTATTGATCTTGGGTATGTCTGTGAGGATGTTTCCAAAAGAGATTAATACTTGAGTCAGTGGGCTGGGAAAGGCAGATCCACCCTTAATCTCGCAGGCACAATCTAATCAGCTGCCAGCGAATATAAAGCAGGCAGAAAAATGTGAAAAAGAGAGATGGGCCTAGCCTCCCAGCCTACATCTTTCTCTCAGGCTAGATGCTTCCCGCCCTCAAACATTGGACTCCAAGTGCTCCAGTTTGGGGACTCGGACTGGCTCTCCTTGCTCCTCAGTTTGCAGGCAGCCTATTTTGAAACCTTGCGAACACGTGAGTTAATATTTAATAAACTTCCCTTTATATTTGTATATATCTCCTATTAGTTCTGTCCCTCTAGAGAACCCTGAGTAATACTGATTTTGGTACCAAGAGTGGGGTGTCTGATGAGTGTCAGCATCGGGTGCCTTAACCTGGCATTCAGTTCATCCCACAGTGCCAGTACTGCTTACCAAAAGTGGACTCACATCCCACGCCTGGCCCTATGCCAGCAAGCCAGGTTTCTAACCCATTTAAAGTTTGAGAATAGGTTCAGACTATTTCGGTCCCAAGACCTTCAATCATTCACTTTACCAAATAAAACAGCCTGGCATCCAGAACAGGAGAAGGTTCTGCAACAGGTCCAGGTTGCTGTGCAAGCTGTTCTAACACTTGGGCCATATGACCCAGCAGATCCAATGGTGCGTAAGATGTCAGTGGCAGTTAGGGATGCTGTCTGGAGACTTTGCTAGGCCCCCATAGGTGAATCACAGCAGAGGCCTCTAGGATTTTGGAGCAAGGCCCTGCCATCTTCTACAGATAACTATGCTCCTTTTGAGAGAGAGCTCTTGGCCCATTACTGAGCTTTGGTGGAAACTGAACGTTTGACTATGAGTCATCAAGTCACCATGCAACCTGAACTGGCTATCATGAACTGGGAGCTTTCTGACCCATCTGGCCATCAAGGGGTCTGTACACAGCAGCACTCTATCATCAAATGAATGTGGCATATACGTGATCGGGTTTAAGCAGGTCCTGAAGGCACAAGTAAGTTACATGAGGAAGTGGCTCAAACGTCCATGGTCTCCACTTCTGCCACCCTGCCTTCTCTTCCCCAGGTTGCATAGATGCCTTCATCGGGAGTGCCCTATGATCAGTTGGCAGAGGAAGAGAACCAGGGCCTGGTTCACAGATGGTTCTGCAGGATATGGAGGCACCACCCCAAAGTGGACAGCTGCAGCACTACAGCCTCTTTCTGGGATACCTCTGGAGCACAGCATTGAAGGGAAATCTTCCCAATTGGCAGAACTTTGAGCAGTGCACCTGGTTGTGCACTTTGCATGGAAGGAGAAATGCCCAGATGTGTGATTATATAGTGATTCATGGGCTGTAGCCAAGGGTTTTTGGCTGGATGGTCAGGGACTTGGAAGAAGTATGATTGGAAAATTGGTGACAAAGAAATCTGGGGAAAAGGTATGCAAATGGACCTGAGTGATCAAAAACCAGGAAGGTATTTGTATTCCATTGAGTGCTCACAAATAGGCTACTTCAGCAGAGGAGGATTTTAATAATCAAGCGGACAGGATGACCCATTCTGTGGACACCACTCAGCCTCTTTCCCCAGCCACCCCTGTCATTGCCCAGTGGGCCCATGAACAAAGTGGCCATGGTGGCAGGGATGGAGGTTACACATGGGCTCAGCAACATGAACTTCCATCCTCCAAGGCTAACCTGGCTACAGCCACTGCTGAGTGCCCAATTTGCCAGCAGAAGCAAGCAACACTGAGCCCCCGATGTGACACCATCCCTCGGGGTGATCACCCAGCTGCCTGGTGGCAGGTTGATTATACTGGACCTCTTCCATCATGGAAAGGGAAGAGGTTTGTCCTCACTGGAATAGACACTTACTCCAGATATGCGTTTGCCTATTCTGCACGCAATGCTTCTGCCAAGACTACCAACCGTGGACTCATGGAAAGCCTTTTCCACTGCCTTGGTATTCCACACAACATTGCCTCTGACTGAGGCACTCACTTTATGGATAAAGAAGTGCGACAATGCACTCATGCTCACGGAATTCACTGGTCTTGCCATGTTCCCCATCATCTTGAAGCAGCTGGATTGACAGATGGTGGAATGGCCTTTTGAAGTCACAATTACAATGCCAACTAGGTGGCAATACTTTGCAGGGCTGGGGCAAAGTTCTCTAGAAGGCTGTTTATGCTCTGAATCAGCATCCAATATATAGTACTGTTTCTCCCATAACCAGGATTCATGGGTTCAGGAATCAACAGTGGAAGTGGAAGTGGCACCACTCACCATCACCCCTAGTGATCCACTAGCAAAATTTTTCCTTCCACTAGCAAAATGTTCCTACGACATTACCTTCTGCCGGCCTAGAGGTCTTAGTTCCAGAGGGAGGAACGCTGTCACCAGGAGAGACAACGATTCCATTAAACTGGACATTAACATTGCCACCTGGACACTTTGGGCTCCTCCTACCTTTAAGTCAACAGGCTAAGAGGGGAGTTACAGTGTTGGCTGGGGTGACTGACCCAGACTATCAAGATGAAATCAGTCTATTAATCCACAATGGAGGTAAGGAAGAGTATGCATGGAATACAGGAGATCCATTAGGGTGTCTCTTAGTATTACCATGTCCTGTGATTAAGGTCAATGGGATACTACAAGAGCCCAATCCAGGCAGGACTACAAATGGCCCAGGCTCCCCAGGAATGAATGTTTGGGTCACTCCACAAGGGAAAAAAAACACGACCTGCTGAGGTGCTTGCTGAAGGCAAAGGGAATACAGAATGGGTAGTAGAAGAAGGTAGTCATCAATACCAGCTACTACCATGAGACCACTGCAGAAACGGGGAGTGTAATTATCATGAGTATTTCCTCCTTCTTCTGTTAAAAACATGTTTGTGCATGTATACACTTGTACTAAGTGTGTATCTTTATTTCCTTTTCCTTTATCATGTGGCATAAGATTTACTGACTTCATGTGGGCATTTAAATATTATTAACTTTATGTAATAGTATTTGGGCTGGGGATTGGTGCATTTCCGGTTGTACAAAGGACAGCTGTATTATGTTAGGCATAATTATGAACTTATTATCTTTATTAGAAGATGATGTATGATCTCAGGAGATATACATGGGTTCAAGTTGACAAGCAGTGGACTTGTGATGGATAATACTGAGTGTCAACTTGATTGGATTGAAGGATACAAAGTACTGATCCTGGGTGTGTCTGTGAGGGTGTTGCCAAAAGACATTAACATTTGAGTCAGTGGGCTGAAGAAGGCAGATCCACCCTTAATCTGGTGGGCACAATTTAATCCACTGCCAGTGCATATAAAGCAGGCAAAAAAATGTGAAAAAGAGAGACTGGCCTAGCCTCCCAGCCTATATCTTTCTCCCATGCTGGATGCTTCCTGTACTTGAACATCGGACTCCAAGTTCTTCAGTTTTGGGATTCGCACTGGCTCTCCTTGCTCCTCAGCTTGCAGACAGCCTATTGCAGGACCCTGTGATTGTGTAAGTTAATACTTAGTAAACTCCATATGTATGCATATACACACACACACATATATGTATATATGTATATACAAAATATCCTATTAGTTCTGTCCCTCTAGAGAACCCTAATACAGATGCCAATTCAGTTTATTGAATATTCAGTATCAGCAGATGTT